TTTTTTTTTTTTTTTTTTTTTCTCGTCCTTTCTTTCGTTCCTTTTCTCTTTTCTTCTCTGGAGTACTTGTAGCCGTATCGTATACTGATAATGGACAGGGAAATGGATATCGGAAACACCTTCGGCGCAACAGTCCTCTCATCCTACGGCGGCTTCTGAATCTCCGCCTCTATCGTTTTCACACCCGGCGGATTCGAAATCATGCCTAACCTAGAGAAAGCAGGAGGCCAGGCAATTTTCTACGACTCTTTCTCTATATATCTCTGGGTGAGCACCCCCTCCCCAACCAACCCTACCCTCTACCCTACCCCATCACACCTCATCCCCAATTTACATAACTAACATAACGAACAGGGCTGATTCATCTTCACAACAATAATAACCTCCCTAACCCTCCGCTCAACGCTCGCCCTATGCGCCCTCCTCGCCGTCGATACGGCCGTCCTCCTCGCACTAGCCTACATGATCCACGACGAGTCGGAAATGCCACACGCTGGCTTGCAGAAAGAAGGTAGATTTTTTGCGATTCTGACGACATTTTTGGCGTGGTATAATGGGTTGGGGGGGGGGAGGGGGTTGGTGGATGATTCGAATAGATTTTTTGTGGTGCCTGTTGTGCATTTTCCGTGGTCGGAGAGGGGGGTCTAGGAGGTCTGAGTAGGCGTCATGGGTTTGCTGTTTTTCTTATGATGGAATGGTGCTTTGGGACTGGATTGTTGGGTTGATGTCGTAGTGTCTGAATGACCAGGGCTATTTAGCATTCCAAACATCGCTGCAGTATATATCGCGATAGCTATCACTACCTATCGCCAAGCGCCTTGTATTTAAAGCTACTTATGAGTCGACCATAAAATCAGACCCGGTTTCCCTTTTTCAGTAGGTGAATCGGTATGTGTCATGGTAGGAGGGTAATGGATGACGGCATCATTAAACACGCTTCAACCCTACTAACCTACCATTAGTATACGTTACCACAACAGTGTTAGGAATAATCACTAATATCCTCGATTTCCATAGCCCAAGAAGAGATGCGTATTGGCTGGGTTACATCCCGACCTCCCGTCCTATACATGTCCATCAATGTAGTACCAGCGTCGCAATAACATACTAACAATGAAATCACCACCAGCCACGCAACGCCAGGCACACGAACAAGGTACACCAACACCCATCCACGGACCGCTAAAGTATAAAATAAGATAATTTCAAATAACTGAATAAAAATCTATTATCTCAATTTGTTGTGTAGCTATACTATGTAGGGCAAGCAAGCCCAATGCTCGATCAACTGTACATGTGCTGTGGTCGTTCAATCCATTCCAAAAAGTGTAAGACGTAGACGTAGAGTGCTGATACTTCGTAATCACCGGATCCGTTTGACTCCTCTTGACTCCGTCGGTGGTTTGTTTTTTTGTGTTTTGAAAATTTTTTTTTTTTTCTTGTAAAGCAAAAAGGAAAAATGAAAAAAAAAAAAGAAAAGGCAAGATAATGTGGAAGGTATCCGTTGAGAAGTAAAGTGGCGTAGCAAAACATAAGGTATTGAAAAGAAGAAAAATGAAAAGCAAAGCAAAAGAAACGCTGTCTATGCATTCCGCCATACCAATTCCAAAATCTCATCACCATCTTTTCCACCGCGATGGATGTAGAACTGTCGCACCTGGTCGTCCTCCACCACGGCATCTTCCAACAGGTAGCTGATCTTGTTCCAGTCCTTTGGTCGCAATGGTCCAAGTTCGTGCAGGTACGATTCGTGCACGGCACCGTTGTGACTCTCCCAGGTCAACTCCATGGTTTTGTCGAAGGGATCCACGTCCGTGCTGTATTTAACCACTGAGAAACCGTTGGTCAGAAGCCACCCGTCGGCAAACCACCATTGTCGCAGCAAGCAGGTATCGCCGCAGAGTTCGGAGATGGAAGCCACCTTGGGCATGTCTGCGTGGAACCATGACTTCCAGTGGTGAACCGACAGAGGGGGTTCCCGTCCCGTTTCGAAGAACCCGGTAACATCGCCCATCATGTCGAGTTGGCGTAAGCGGTGGTCAATGGTCAATTTCGCGGGTGTGTATTGATAGATGCAGAGGGAAATGCGACGGTCGCCGGTAAATTCCATGTTCTGGCATTCTTCGAAAATTTCCGGCTTGCTCAGTTCGGTCACCAGTGGGCGCGAGAGGAAAACACCAGCACCTCCAAATGCCATGATACCAAAAGCCCCGATCTGGGGAATGCTTTCGGAAATGCCTCCAACATAGACCATTTGCGTGTGGTCGTATTTGTCGAGCGCCTGCACCAACGATGACATCGACATGAAGAAAGTGTCGTCATCAATCACGACGGACCAGCGGGTTTGCTCGCGCACATGGCTCGCGAGGTGACGGACCAAGGAGAAATACCGACTTTGGTACTCTTCGTCAGATTCAGTGATATACAGGTTGATACCCAGACTATCTGCCTTGGCCTGGACTTCCGGAACGCGTTTGTCGGGCTCAACGAGAGCAAAAATCCGGGTGCGAGTGTAACCGGCCCAGTGAGCGAACTGGTCCAGAGAGTCGTTCAAGCGATCGGCCCTGGTGGCCACACCAAAGTCGATATGAGAGGCGTCAACGGTCTTTGGAGGCAAGGGAACCTGCACAGTGAATGGGTGCGGCATGGAACAATCGGCCTGCGACTGCTCTTGCGTAAGTTGCTCATTACGATCCAACATTTTCCGATCCATCAACGGGGTATCGAGGCGCTGCTTCATGGGCACCTCCTGGTTCGCGGCCAGAGTCACGGCGTTGACCTCACGACGGAGGTAGCTACCGAGTTTGTTGATCTGGAGGCGTTCCAGCACGCCCAGGTCGAGTTCGCAGTGAATACCGGAAGCGATGGAGATATTAGCGGAAGGTGTTTGAGCCTGGATGTGGCTGGGAGGGAACGGAGGCCAGAGGAACAGAGTGAAGGCGCCGACGAGCAGAAATGCGACACCGAAACGGATGAGCCGTTTCCCTGCCCAGGAGCCGCCCACAGAGGGCCTCTCCCCGGGCTTGAGTAACATGGTGTATTATTATGAAAATCAGTTGTTAAAAAAAAGTCGATATTAGATCATTCGCATAGCGGAGCGGACGGAAAGGGAGTGTCAGGGAGGAGGCGAGGGTTCGGGTGGAGGAAGATGGAGGAAGTTGCCACAGAGTCGGAGATAGGACGGTAAGGAGGATTAAGTAGGTAGTAGTAGTGTCACCCACCAGATGCCACAGTGACAGGTAGGAAAGTAAGTAAGAGGAAGAAAGAAGGTGAAAAGAAGAAAAGAAAAAAGTCAGCAGAAAAAGAAGAGAAAAAGACGGCGGCACAACCAGGGAAAAGGCGCGCGAATGAGTCGCTGATCAACGGATCCAATAGAGAGATCGGCGGTTGGAGGATATTAACTGATAGCCGGTGGTTGTTAGAGGAGCACTTGTAGGCATAACATTCTAAGGGTTGCACTTGACGGTTCAGGTCCTACTGTACCTTGTATAGTACCGCTGTACTGTGGTATCTCTCTCGTCGTATTCCACTCTCATCGAAAAGTCACCTGACACCACATGACGCGGCCGCTGATCCGTTTTCGGAGGGATTAGTCATACGTCATAGCGCAGTTACGGTACCATACGCACGAGCGGTATTTTACACACGTGAGCGGTGTGAGTTTTTGGTGTGTGTGGATAGTTGGTTTGATTGGGTGCCTATCGGCTCAGGCTAGCTATGTCTACTGGGCAGAAAGCGAGGGCGGTCAAGCACGTGACCCGGTGGGTACTAACACCCCCCCTCGCGCGAGCTGGGAGCCCGGAAAAGCTCTAAATACATAGCAAAATGTATACAAAATAAAGCAGATGTACAGGCAATCTGGTGTTCAACAAAAGCAGTGAATAGAAAATGGAATAGCAAATGGAATAATGTGAGAATTCACCTAATTGGTTGGTGTAGCAAGGCACCAAGGAGTTGAGGGTATCCATCCTTGAGAGTTAATTCTTTCTTTCTTCTTTACCTCTATTCTCCCTCCAAAGTCTGGTTGCTTTGATGGTGATGGTGATGATGTCAGTCCATATTGATGAGATGAAGGAAGTGTCAATGATCTGGGGTGCTTAGAGGCTTGGTGAGTCCATCTGCTGGGTTCTCTTTTGAGTGTATGTTCTCTATGCTGACTAGGCCTAGGGCCTGTAGGTCCTGAATGTGATGAAATCAAATGTTGATGTGTTTGGACCTCTTGGTCCCCTCCATTGAGGATAGGGCGATTGCTCCTTCATTATCCATATAGAGCTCAATGGGCGGAGAGTTGGGTTTGGCAATGCCCATCTCAATGCATACACAGTGAAGCCATACAGCCTCTTTTGATGCTTCAGATCCTTCCATATATTTGGCTTCATTGCTGCTTGTGGCGACGCAGCTTTGGACTTTTGATTTCCATGAGATAGGTGAGCCACCATACAGAAAGACAAAGCCTCCTACTGATTTTCTTCCTGCATTAGGCCCTCCCCAATTAGAGTCTGCAAAGCCTTTTGGTAGGTGGGATATAGTTGTCTGTGTACAGGGGTAGTAGATGATTCCTTTGTCAATTATCCCTTTCAGGTAACATATGACATGCATGAGTGCATTCCAACATTTCTTTGTGGGTTTGGCATTGTAGTGGGCTAACATTCCTGCTGCCTCAGCTATATCAGGGTGAGTTTTTACTGCTGGCCATTGCAGCTTTCCAGTTCCTCACTGGTACTCATGAATGATCACAGAGTCATTGGGCAGGTCATCTATCACTAGACCGCTCAGTAGAGGTGTGGTTTGGGAGTGGAAGTTCTCTAGTCCAAATGACTGGATGAGATCCTTGATATATTCATGTTGATTGAGGTGAATACATCCATTCTTGAATTCAACTTCCATGCCAAGATAGTACATCATATCACTGACATCTTTTATCTCCCATTCTTTGGCTAGGGCATTCTTTGTCCATTCAATATCATCAGCTCACTCAGCTACGAGCTGGAAGTCATTGATGTGGGTGGTGATATAAAGGTGCTTTCATTGTTGATGGATGAATAGACCAGGGTCATATGAGCATGTCTGAAAGCCTAGTCTATGGAGAGCGGCAGTAAGTGTGTCATACCATATGCAGGCTGCTGGAGTAAGTCCATATATTGACTTCTTTAGCCGCCAGGCTAGACCTTTGCCTTGCTCAAAACCAGTTGGTTGATGCATATAGATTTCATCAATCAAATCACCATTCAGGAAGGTGACTGCAACATCAAGCTTTCATATATGCCATCCATTGGCAGTGGCCAATGCAAATAGCAGTCAGGTAATGGCTGCAGAGACCACTGGGGCATATTTGCAGTAGTCATATTGCATATCATCTTTCTCAACAAGATTTCTGAGGATAACCCATCAAGCTTTGTACAAGCATTCATCAGTGGATGAATAGTCCTCTTTGCTGTCATACACCCATTTGCCAGGGAATATGCGCTTGTTTTTGGGCACATCACTGATCCAGACTAATTCAAATATCTCTTTGCTCTGCAGTTTCAAAAATTCCTTTTCCATCACACATTGCCATCTATCTTTGTCATCTCAGTCCATAGTGCGCCTCAAGGTCTTTGGTATGTTGCATGAGGTTGCTCCAACTATATATGCAGCAAAACCTTTTGCTGGATGAGATATGACATTGTCTGGGGTGTCATCAAAATAAGGTTGGGTGGTCATCTCACTATTGGTTGAGGTAGTGAGTGAAGTCAGTTGAGGGGTGAATGTTGGATCAGTAAGTGAGATTTGCCCCTCATCCATGTGTCCATCAGGCACATTGATGATACTATCTTTCTCTAGATTCCATACCATTGTGATATTGCTGGCTATATGGCCCAGGAGTAGGCCATACACTCTGCAGGTGTCCATTTTGTCAGTTGGTTTCTCAGTACCATGTTGATGATACCAGATTCTCATTCCAAAAGGACATAAATAGGAGATATCCATTGGGCAGTTCTCCCATGCTTCTGCAGGGATATAAAAGGGTGATTTCTTGATGTCTTCATTCAAAATATTGCTGTTCAGTGTCAGGTTGTTGAATAAAGGGGTTGATGTCAGGAGATAATTGGCCTTTTGAACAGTGTCCATCAAGGCTTCTAGCCAAAATCAGTGTGGTAAGCCAGAGGCATATAGGACTGCTCTGGTCCTTTCCAAAATGATCCAGATTCCGTGTTCACTAACGCCGTTCTGCCAGGGTGAATATGGGGTAGATGGCTCAGTTACAATGCCAGGCCAATCTTGATAGTTCTTGAAGAACTCGCCATCACCATGCAGATATGCAGTTTCATAGCTGATTTTCTTCAGCCATTCAATATGCTGCTTGATGGTGTGGTTTGGCTTTTCACAGTTTTGGAGTGGGATAACCCATCACATACAGGTGGCATTGTTGGTGAGTATCATGGCATATTTGTATTTGCCATTTGCTGGGGGTACATCATCATCTGATTCTTTGCCTAGTGTCTGGCCACCACCAAAAATATCAACGTGCAAGCGCCTGCCAGGCATGGTTGCCCTTGGGGTAGGTCCATTCCCAATTTTTCAGGTTGTTTTTGCTTGTCTGCAAAAGTCACATGTGGATAGCAACTTCTTCCCCTGGATATTGATTCTTCCAATCCGATGGAGGTATTGCAAATTGTGTTGATTCATATGGGATAAGCAGTGGTGCCAGTTTTCAATTGGTGCTGCTGGAGGCCTATTTGGGGTCAAATTTTGGGATTTGTTGTCATTTGGGTCTGAGTTATCAGTGACTGCATTTATCACTCCTCTTTCCTCTTCTAGATGGTCAAACACACCATCCTCAATTGTCTGAGAGATGAGGAAGGAAACTGATAGGTCTGGTGTTGACACCCAGAATCAGTAAGGTTTGTCATTGTTGAGTTGGATGTGAAATCCTTGCTTCTCTAACTGATTGAATGATAATAAGTGAGAATGCAAAGTGGGTACATATCAGACATTCTTCAACTCTACCACACGTTCTCCTATTGGTAGGTGAATAGTTCCGACTCCTTCCACTTTATGGATGCTATTGTCTGGCAATTTGACTGTGGATTGTGTTATTGGGACATAATTGATAAATGCTGATTTGTCATCATATATGGTCCATGTGGCACCAGTATCTAGTACCCAACTGTTTGACTGTGTTGTTGATTGTACTAGATTAACCACTCCATTTGCTGCTGCAGGTGTTTTCTGACTACCTTGTGTGGAGTTGGAACTGGTTGT